ACATGGTATCCTCACCCATGGCCAGCTCCCTTTACTCTGCAAGTACTACTTCCCAGGCCTGTTGCTCACTGCTGCCAGGAACATGTCCCAGCATACTAATGCTAAACATTAAAACCCAGAGCCATCTTGTTCAGGTACCACCTCCATCTACAAGGCAGGGTATGCCTGATGAGTAGTGCATGAAAAGTGAGGCAGCATAGCAGCATAGAATAGGTGACCTGTGCTCATCATCTTATAGATGATCTGTGCTTATTATCCTTTAGGTGACCTGTGCTCCTCATCTCACAGGTAACCATTGCTCATCAACTCATAGGTGGCCTTTGCTCATCATCTCATAGGTGACCTGTGCTCCATCATTTTATAGATGACCTGTGCTTGTGCTTATTAACCTTTAGGTGACCTGTCTTCATCATCTTTTAGGTGACCTGTGCTCCTCATCCCATAGGTGACCTGTTCTGATCATCTCATAGGTGACCATCATTTTTTAGGTGACCTGTGCTCCTCATCTCAAAGGTGACCTGTGCTCCTCATAGGTGACCTGTGCTCCTCATGTGACCTGTGCTCCTCATCTCAAAGGTGACCTGTGCTCCTCATCTCAAAGGTGACCTGTGCTCCTCATCTCAAAGGTGACCTGTGCTCCTCATCTCATAGGTGACCTGTGCTCCTCATCTGGTGACCTGTGCTCCTCATCTCATAGGTGACCTGTGCTCCTCATTTCATAGGTGACCTGTGTGCTCCTCATCTCATAGGTGACCTGTGCTCCTCATCTCATAGGTGACCTGTGCTGTAGGTGACCTGTGCTCCTCATCTCATAGGTGACCTGTGCTCCTCATCTCATAGGTGACCTGTGCTCCTCATCTCATAGGTGACCTGTGCTCCTCATCTCATAGGTGACCTGTGCTCCTCATCTCATAGGTGACCTGTGCTCCTCATCTCATAGGTGACCTGTGCATCTCTAGGTGAAAGGTGATCTGTGCTCATCTCTTATCATCTCATAGGTGACCTGTGCTCCTCATCTTCATAGGTGACCTGTGCTCCTCATCTCATAGGTGACCTGTGCTCCTCATCTCATAGGTGACCTGTGCTCCTCATCTCATAGGTGACCTGTGCTCCTCATCTCATAGGTGACCTGTGCTCCTCATCTCATAGGTGACCTGTGCTTGTGCTTATTAACCTTTAGGTGACCTCTCATCTCATAGGTGACCTGTGCTCCTCATCTCATAGGTGACCTGTGCTTATCATCTCATAGGTGACCTGCCTTCATCATAGGTGACCTGTGCTCCTCATCTCATAGGTGACCTGTGCTCCTCATCTCATAGGTGACCTGTGCTCCTCATCTCATAGGTGACCTGTGCTCCTCATCTCAAAGGTGACCTGTGCTCCTCATCTCATAGGTGACCTGTGCTCATCTCATCTCATAGGTGACCTGTGCTCCTCATCTCATAGGTGACCTGTGCTCCTCATCTCATAGGTGACCTGTGCTCCTCATCTCATAGGTGACCTGTGCTCCTCATCTCATAGGTGACCTGTGCTCCTCATCTCATAGGTGACCTGTGATCCTGTGCTCCTCATCTCATAGGTGACCTGTGCTCATCATCTCAGGTGACCTGTGCTCCTCATCTCATAGGTGACCTCATCTCATAGGTGACCTGTGCTCCTCATCTCATAGGTGACCTGTGCTCCTCATCTCATAGGTGACCTGTGCTCCTCATCTCATAGGTGACCTGTGCTCCTCATCTCATAGGTGACCTGTGCTCCTCATCTCATAGGTGACCTGTGCTCCTCATCTCATAGGTGACCTGTGCTCCTCATCTCATAGGTGACCTGTGCTCCTCATCTCATAGGTGACCTGTGCTCCTCATCTCATAGGTGACCTGTGCTCCTCATCTCATAGGTGACCTGTGCTCCTCATCTCATAGGTGACCTGTGCTCCTCATCTCATAGGTGACCTGTGCTCCTCATCTCATAGGTGACCTGTGCTCCTCATCTCATAGGTGACCTGTGCTCCTCATCTCATAGGTGACCTGTGCTCCTCATCTCATAGGTGACCTGTGCTCCTCATCTCATAGGTGACCTGTGCTCCTCATCTCATAGGTGACCTGTGCTCCTCATCTCATAGGTGACCTGTGCTCCTCATCTCAAAGGTGACCTGTGCTCCTCATCTCATAGGTGACCTGTGCTCCTCATCTCATAGGTGACCTGTGCTCCTCATCTCATAGGTGACCTGTGCTCCTCATCTCATAGGTGACCTGTGCTCCTCATCTCATAGGTGACCTGTGCTCCTCATCTCATAGGTGACCTGTGCTCCTCATCTCATAGGTGACCTGTGCTCCTCATCTCATAGGTGACCTGTGCTCCTCATGTCTCAGGTGACCTGTGCTCCTCATCTCATAGGTGACCTGTGCTCCTCATCTCATAGGTGACCTGTGCTCCTCATCTCATAGGTGACCTGTGCTCCTCATCTCATAGGTGACCTGTGCTCCTCATCTCATAGGTGACCTGTGCCTCCTCATCTCATAGGTGACCTGTGCTCCTCATCTCATAGGTGACCTGTGCTCCTCATCTCAAAGGTGATCTGCTCATCATCTCATAGGTGATCTGTGCTCATCATCTCATAGGTGACCTGTGCTCCTCATCTCATAGGTGACCTGTGCTCCTCATCTCATAGGTGATCTGTGCTCCTCATCTCAAGGTGACCTGTGCTCCTCATCTCATAGGTGACCTGCCTTCATAAATTTTCAGGTGACCTGTGCTCATCATGTCATAGGTGACCTGTGATCATCATGTCATAGGTGACCTGTGCTCATCATGTCATAGGTGACCTGTGCTCCTCATCTCATAGGTGACCTGTGCTCCTCATCTCATAGGTGATCTGTGCTTATCATCTTATAGGTGACCTGCCTTCATAAATGTTCAGGTGACCTGTGCTCATCATCTCATAGGTGACCTGTGCTCATCATCTCATAGGTGACCTGTGCTCATCATCTCATAGGTGACCTGTGCTCCTCATCTCATAGGTGACCTGTGCTCCTCATCTCATAGGTGATCTGTGCTTATCATCTTATAGGTGACCTGCCTTCATAAATTTTTAGGTGTCCTGTGCTCATCATCTCATAGGTGGCCTGTGCTCGTCATCTCATAGGTGGCCTGTGCTCGTCATCTCATAGGTGGCCTGGTGCTCGTCATCTCATAGGTGGCCTGTGCTCGTCATCTCATAGGTGACCTGTGCACCTCATCTCATAGGTGACCTGTGCACCTCATCTCATAGGTGACCTGTGCACCTCATCTCATAGGTGACCTGTGCACCTCATCTCATAGGTGACCTGTGCACCTCATCTCATAGGTGACATGTGCTCCTCATCTTGTAGGTCATCTGTACTCCCCATTTCGTAGGTGATCTGTGCTCATTATCTCGTAGGTGACCTGTGCGCCTCATTTGGTAGGTGACCTGTGCTCATTATCTCGTAGGTGACCTGTGCTCCTCATTTGGTAGGTGACCTGTGCTCCTCATCTGGTAGGTGACCTGTGCTCCTCATCTGGTAGGTGACCTGTGCTCCTCATCTGGTAGGTGACCTGTGCTCCTCATCTGGTAGGTGACCTGTGCTCCTCATCTGGTAGGTGACCTATGTTTATCATCATATAGGTGATCTGTGCTAATGATCATCTCAGCTGTGCGATGATGCCCCAATAATTACCTTCTTGCAGTTCATCCAGGCTGGTGATCTTCTTCCCTCCATCCAGTGTGTAGATACATCGCACGCCTTGAGGAAGGCTGACATTGTCGGAGAGGGATCGGGTGAGCTCCATGAGCAGAGCATCGAAGGATCGGAAGCGTTCCGTGGACACGGCATAGGGCAGCCCCTTGAAGTAGCGGTCCCCATTGCGGTAGAAGCGCACCTTCTTGGCCTTCCTCTCGGAGCTGAGTGCCTGCAGGGTGCGGGTGCGGTAGAAGCTGCAGTGGGCGCTATGCGCAGGGCTGGGGATCAAGCCGTTGCCCCTGGCCCCGGATCCCGAGCCGCTGTTCTGCCCCTCCCCCGCCTCTCCTGGATTGCCTCTGCTTCTTCTTCCTTTCGTCGAAATGCTCCAGCTCGATGCTCCTTGCGCTGGCCATTGTGATGTCAGGCTTGGAGGACCCCTGTGCGATGTGCAATCAAGCAAGTCAGCAGCCAATGCAAGCAGTCCCCGTTCTGACAATGGCTTAGATTATATTCCTGGAGGGTGCTGCATGCTGCTTCCAGGAGGAGAAGGTGCAGTGTAGTTCATGAGCTTCCCAGATGATGGAGGACATAAGGGGGATCTGTAGATGACAATGTCACTCCCCCATGAGTCTGAAGGAGGCAAGGTCCAGCATAGGCAGTCCAAGGCTCACGCTGAATGGAGGAGGCCAGGCATTGTCTCCATGACAGCTCCTACATCTGCTGCTGCCCCCAGTGCACCTCCATAACCTTCCGATTCAATAAGGTGAAGGCTGGTGGAGGATCACACACCCAGTCCTCTGCCTGATCCCTAGTAGGAGCATGGAGTAGAGAGGGAGTTCTATGGAGAAGGGCATTCCCTGCATCCCTTTAGCAGAGCCTGCTCCTCCCCCTCCTCCACACACACTGTATCAGCTGAGTATCCATGCCAGAAAATCTTCATTGTCACAGCAATGGGGCTGATTCATCAAAGAAATTACAGCAATACTACAAGTGTCGCCCACAGCCACCAGTCAGGTCCTAGCTGTCATTCTCTAGGTAAATGAAACAAGGGATCTGAATTATTGCTGGGAGCAGGCCTAGCTTTAGATTGTAAGTTTCTCAGGATCAGGGCCCCCCTAAACCTCTTGTCTTGAAATATATTGTAAAGCTGGTCGTAGATGGAACACAATTCATCTGGGACCAGCCATATTTCGTGGCTGCCCCCACCTGACAGAAAGCAAATGATAGATCAACTGCTGTTGAACGAGAATATTGGAAAACTTTTCTTGATCAGCAGCTGCAGCCAATCAGCTAATCGCTTCAACCGCTAATCAGGGGCAGGACTGACCATTTGGAAACTCGGGCACTGCCCAGGGGCCCTATGAGTTGCCCCTGATACCTTTTTCATAGGCTTTTTTGAGTTTGGGCAAGGACACAGGGGCCCCATGTAGGTTGCCCCATGAGATGCCCCTGGTACCTTTTTCATAGGCTTTTTTGAGTTTGGGCAAGGACACAGGGGCCCCATGATCCCCTATTGCCCGGGGGCCCCATGAGTTGTCAGTCTGCCCCTGCCACTAATCAGTGTATTCTGAAAGGGGAAAGTCCCATTGTCACAATACAATGTCCCTGAGGGGAACCCTCCATCAACTTGATTGTGTGGATGGGGAAATCAATTTTTTTTTTCATTCAAGTGGTTGTAAAGGCTCAAGTTTTTTTGCCTTCATGCATTCCATTTAAAACTTTCTCTGTGCAGCAGCTCCCCCTAATACTCACCTAAGCCCCCTGTCGATCCAGCGATGTGTACTGGAGTCTCGGCTATCCCAGGACTTCCTCTCCTCATTGGCTGAGACAGCAACAAGAGCCGTTGGTCAGTGAGCCAATGAGAAGAGAGAGGGGGTGGGGCCTAGCCACGACTCAGTGTGTGAATGGACACACGGAGCAGCAGGTGCCCCCATAGCAAGTTACTTGCTGTGAGGGCACTCAACAGGAGGAAGGGGCCAGAAAAGACTGCGGGGGACCTGAAAAGAGGGGGATCCAGGCTGCTCTACGCAAAACCACTGCACAGAGCAGGTAAGTATGGACATGTTTGTTATTTTTAGAAAAAAAAGCCTTTAGTGTCGCTTTAAGCCTGCTGGACCCATCTATGGAGAGCTAAAAGCGGTATTAAACCCCAAACCAACAATGTAATATGTTGCAGCTTACCAATCATTAGATGTGGTGGACGCATTTGTTTTTTGTAGACTTTTCCCCCTGTTTTCACCTAGTGATCTGGCCAGTAACGTACCTCCTGTATTGGAGTGCCTCCCGCTCTGGAGGAAGGAGCACAGGAGCACCTTGGACAGCAGCATTGTTTGTCTGGGGGGGGGGCCGAGTATCAGGTGTACTAGCAGATTTAAACCAAACTCCAACTCACACTGCAGTTACACAAGCAGCTACAGTTTTTGTTCCTTTTGGGATAAACGTTTTACATAAATAAATACGAGCTGATCCTTTGAAGCACCCCTGCCAGAGCTTATTCTTTTGAAACACAAACTTACTGGCTGGATCACACGATGAAAACAGAACAAAAAAAGACCAAAAAAGAAAACTAATGCAGCCATCACATCTAAGAAATGGTAATCTGCAATATAAAAAATGTTTGTTTTTGGGTTTAATACCACTTTAAGGTACTGGTAAAGGCAATACTTTTTACCATAAGGCAAAAAATGTCCCAGTGTTTGTATGCCTAACCCCCCTCCCACCCAAACACTTACCTTAGTCCTCACTCAATCCAGCACAGTAGCGTCTCTCTCCTATCTGTTCCTGCATTCACATGGACAGAGGCAGCAGTGGAAGCCATAAGCTTCTGATGCTGTCAATCAAATCCTGTGAGGACGGAACAGGGACGTGACTGAGCTCCTCTGTGTGTGTCCATGGACACTCAGTGTGTGTCTATGGACACTCACAGCCTGACTCGGGAGCAAGCATGCAAGTGTTCCCCTATAGGAAAGCGGCTTCCTATAATGTCGCATATAGAAGAGAAGCTGAGAGTACCAGCAAGGAAGACCCAAAAAGGAGGTTTGGGGCTGCTCTGTGCGAAACCATTGCACAGAGCAAGTAAGTATACCTTGTTTATTAAAAAAAAAAAAAAAGTTTTCCTGTCCAACTGCTTTAACTGTACTGTCTGCTTTTATTTTGTATAGTGCTGTGCAAACTGTTCGCACTATGTACTGTAAATCCTGTATTATAATAATAACGATTTTTAATTTTTGGCAATTGCCATGTTTTTTTTCCCCTTTACGGTCCATCCACACCAGATGCAGTAGGATGTGTTTTTGAACACGTTCCCACTGCATAGACAGTCCAAAATCAAGCTAGTGAGCCTAGTTTACATTTCATTGGAGTGAAAAAAATACAGCAAGATGCATTTTTTTGCAGCAGAAATGTGTATAAACACATGTAAATGTGTAAATGCAACAAATGTAAGGCTCCATGCACACTTGGCATTTTAATAATGCTGGTAACGTTAGCTGTGTAAAATCACGTTAAGTCACGAGTTTTTCAGCATTTTGTCACATTTTTAGTGGGTTCTTTTGCTCAAAAAAAGTCCAAAAACGCCGGTTTGCAGCAATTTACCACATTTTACCACGTTTTTCAGTGTTAGAGTATTTTTACAGCAAAAAACTCTCAAAACCCATTAGTTCTGGGTGGTTTTTCCAGCCAATAAACGCCCCTGCCAAAAAAACGCTGATTACAGTCTATGTGTGCATGAACACATAGGATAACATGCTGGGGGGGTTTACTGGCTGTAGAAAAAAACATCAAAAGCCAAAAACAGCAGCTGTAAAAATATCCAGTGTGCATGAGGACTTAATGTGACTCTGAAAATAAAACAAGTTTGGTTCTTTTGATGACCTGTCCTTCTATATGCCAAAAAAGCTTTAAAAATTTTTTTACAAAGGCATGTTAAATGCATGCGTGTAAATGAGCATTTCGAACCCACAATCCTAACCTGCAGGCAAAACACTCTGCTCTTTGGAAGACACATAGGGGTGCCATGAATTCTTAATGGTACCCCCGCAGCACCATGAGGTGCCTTCAATAAAAAAGGGTCAGAGACTTTTTTCCTCACCTTTCTCGCAGATCTAGAAATCCATTCAAATGACAGACTGGGGTCTTCTATACTCCCCTATGCTCTGGCAGCAGACTGTGTCTTGGTGTCCTTATGTTCATGCTGGACTATGGGCTCTGCATTAGACTTGATGGAGTCAGAAGAACTGTAACCTTTGGAGTGTAGGTGGACCGTTATTCCAGCCTAGAGTGAGCCTACAGCGAGAGGAGTATTGGGTATATTTATTTATTTTATTTAAGGTGCTTATATAGCGCTGTCAGTTTACATATATATTGTACATTCACATCGGTATCTAACCCTCAAGGGGCGTACAATCTAAGGTTCCTAACCCATATTCATGCATACACATACTGGGGCCAATTTAGACAGGAGCTAGTCAACCTACCAGCATGTCTTTGGAGTGTGGGAGGAAACCGGAGTACCTGGAGGAAACCCACACAAGCACAAGGAGAGCATGCACACTCCAGGCAGGTGGGGCTGTGGTTGAGATTTGTACCAATGACCCTAGTATTGCCAGGCAGAAATGCTAATCATAAAAATGCTTTTTCCTTTTTTTTTTAATTTAAATTTTATTCTTGTTAATTACATTATACACAATAAAAAAAAAAACCCATTACAATACTAACGCAAATCATCTCAAGTTCATAACAAATTTTAATCTATTTACCCCTTTCATCTCCCCATCCCTTCCACCCATCTTCGTCCAACCCATTCTCTTTTATTTTATGCTCCTACTTCCCACCTAAAGAAAAACAAAAGACAGCCTCTATTCATCCCATTCCTCCCTCTCCGCAATCCCTTTTCCCTTCTATTCCACCAGTTCAGCAAATCTCTGTGTAGTCCTAAATTCACACCATTTTCCCCACGTTTTCATTAATTTCTCCATTTTATCTTCTTCTCACTATGGTATAGCTCTTCTTTTCTATAAATATATTATACCCTCTTTATCCAGTCTTTGACATTTGGTGAGTCCTGGGCCTTCCAAAATGAAGGGATCAATCCATTTGCTGCATTAATTAGATGATATATAATACTGTTCTTATATTGCTTCACTGTGAGATCAGTACAATGGAATAGACACACCCATGGGTCCATTATTACATTTTCTCCCACTATTTCTAATATTTGTTGTACTATCATCTGCCAGAATTCTATTCTTGTATTTTGGGACATTCCCACCAAATATGTACCAGTGTATCCTCTCTCGCACACCCTCTCCAACAAAAATGTCTCCCATGACAATGTCCAGTATTCCATGTCTTTTTTGACAGTAGTTTTCTTATAAGCCCTAAAAATGGCCAGAAGTTGGAGTTTGCTAAATTTTGAACAAAATTAACCAAACCCTTGTAGAATAGAACCCGGACAGGTTCACCTATCATTAATTAAGTAGTGCACATATCAGGATTTCTGTAGGTAACTCTTCCATTTCTGCTACAGTAGTGAAAAGAAATGTCAATTCCTATGGAGACTGTGGGGTTGCTCTACTATTATTCAGTAGAGTTGACTGTGTGAAGTAAACATTTACACTGCTAAGTGAATAGCTTGTACTCCTTTAGCAATCCAGTCCAAATATATTCTGCAGATGGACAGTTCATTGGTAGTATGGTCAGGTATTGTCCTCCGTTCTGTATTCAAAAGCAAAAAGTCATTTTTGGAAACTACTCTCAGCTACACAAGACCATATATGGGTGTACCTATACCCATATTCACTGATTAGGTGGAAAATCAGATTTAAAAAGTCTAATAGTGCTGACAATCATTCTTAAATCGGCAGTAAACCTCAAAAAATAAAACTAAAGAAAATCTTCTCCCCTGCAAGTTAAGAGCATAATGTGCTAATATGCATCACATACTAACACATTATGAAAGACTCATCTGAAAACGAAGCCCTCCAATGGAGCATTGTCCATCTTTACCCAGTCTTCTTTCCAGGTTTTGGGCTATGGCCACTTGATTGGCCGAGCTGTGATTATGTCACTCCTGCGTATGCATTGAGAGCACAGTGCACATGTGCCGGTGACATCAACGGCACTTCTAAAGTAAATATCTCCTAAACGGTGAATGTTTTTAGGGAGATATTTACAGTACCTACAGGTAAGCTTTATTAAAGGCTTACCTGTAGGTAAAACATAAAAAAAGAGACTTTACTACCACATTACCAACTGGAATTGCCACTGTGTGGCCCATGAAGACTCATACTGTTGCATGTTGACCTGCATTGCAGTAGAGTGGTTGTAAAAACAAGAGGTTTGTTTACCTTAATTCATTATCTGCATTAACGTAAAAAAAAAACCTTCCAATACCAGTTCCTCCTAGCCCCCCCCCCTTCCCTGGGTTACACCTGGGTCTGGGCTTGTTAACCCTTCAGGAGCTGGGAGCCTTGGACTGTCTCCTCTTCCACTGTACCTCTTCCACTGTCTCCTCTTCCACTGTCTCCTCTTCCACTGTCTCCTCTTGCACTGTCTCCTCTTGGACTGACTCCTCTTGGACTTTCTCCCACCTTGGAGTAGGCTGGATAGAGATGTAATACCTGCGACTACGGTGGCTATATTTCATAAGCAA